ACCAAGAGACTGAAGCAAACACTAGTACAGTTTCTAACAGCTCCAGCCTGCACTCCTTAAATTATCTGCCTGAGAAAGCTCAATGCTTCCAGGAGAATTTACTGTTTGTTACTGGCTAAGAGGGTGGCAGAGGGTGGGATGGTTAGATGGCATCACTGTGGACAAGAATCTGAGCAAACTCTGGGAGATAGTGAAGGAGAAGGAAGCCTGCTGTGCTGCAGCCTATGGGATCGCAAAGAGTTGGACACCACTTAGCTACTGAACCACAAAACCTGGTAATAAGCAGACGGGCTCTTGCACACTCTCTTGGAGAAGATACTTCCTTCTCTTAGTACAATCCTGACTTGAGAAATCATGGCCCTTGAGGTATCTGGAAAGTGTGTTAGCTGATGTCATGTTGTCACACTCAGTTTAACGAATGAATAAACTCAGTTTAACGAATGAATTCCACGTGTGTAGATGTATAAATAGGAGAAAACAGTCAGAAAATGATTTTTGTATCTTAGTGATTTAAATTAACTTTGTACTATTTTATGGAACTACACATAAAGAAACATATCTTCTAAAGTCTCCTTTATAAGAAAGATAGGGAAATTAATTTTAAACTGTCTTCTTAAGCTTTAAATATGAAAAGCTTTAAACACCTATAAAAGTAGAATAGTATATACTCATCAGTGTTATGGGATTACCATATTGTCACATTACTATTTCTTTCATTTTTTTCCCCCCTGAACGTACTCTATTTCTAATGATTTGTTGCTGTTCAATTGCTCAGTCGATAATCTTCAACAAAAGAACTTCTAACTTATATTCCACAGATGTTGATTGTGTGCCAGCTGGGTGTGGTTCTCCTTTGGTACTAATGCTGTTATTCAACTTCAAGAGGATATTACTTGCCAGCCTTAGGTCATGGTTTGGGTTTTTTTCCCAGTAACAAGAGGACTGAGTCCCCTCCAGGCTCCCTTCTAACTGACTGCACAGATTCTGACATAGTTGGATATGGTGAAGAGTGTAGTTAAGACCATCTGGAAATTGACTTGCAACACACTACAATGACTGAACTGACTTCACTGTCCGTTGAAGGCTGCCCCTTAGCCTAACAACCTCACATAGATCGTGCTGTGTGTGAATGTTGTTTTCCTGGTAATATAAAGATGGCTTCAAGCTTTGAACTATAAATCCAAGGGTAAGTCATTTAATTCTTCCTTTGCACTAGGACATTTTTATAGGGGTATTTATGTCAGAAGGAAAAGTCTTACCACAGTTATATTAGGGCCTTATTTTTAGTTTGGATAAACTAGGTCCAAGCTCCAGACTGCAGGCTTAAGCACACATAGGAATAAAAATTAATTAGTGCAATATGTTTATGGCATGGTTATTTTTTCCCATAACAATGTTTATGCATATCCACTTCAATAAATCAAGGCTCCATCTCAACTGATTGTTTAGAATCTCCTATGCAAATAAGAGCTCATAAAAAAGAAAGGGATGATTAATTATTTACTAATGTGACGACTGGCAGCCAGTTATTGTTTTATTAAAAAAGAAAAGACATTGGAAAAATCTCAACGTTTCTACTGTTGTTACTTGTCCTTGATGCCAATGACTTTCCACGTAAAGTTCATTATTGCCCAGGACACTTACTTTCACCCCAACTTCCTCATTTTTCATGTAAATATGAAGTAAAACACGACAAGAAGGTCAGCACAGTCAGGAAGTTGAATAAAACTGGAAATGAGCCATGGAGAAGAAAATAACCCATGTCCAAGGTGCTCCTTCCAACTGTCCTTCCCTTTTGCTGTTAGCGGTTTCTGCAGTGCGAATTCTCTAGTGTAATCCTAGTCAGGACACATGACGCACAAACAGCAAACATTCACGCTAACAGTTAAGTTTCTAGGAAATAAAACTAGTTGAATAGTTTTCTCCTTAAACCACAGACACAGTAAGATGTTCAGAGGAAGAAAAGGAAGGCTGTGGTCCTGCCTCAGTTTAACAGGGCATTTGAAGAGCATTCTGAAGAGCAGAATCTGTGTATTTACTCAGTCTATGGTGTGGAATGCTTAGGAGAAAGTTTTAGATAATTTTGACATTTTAACAAGTAACAGTGGCTTGACATTTTATTGGATGAATCAGTCCTCTTTTAAGTAAGTAACAGATATTGGCATGTCCCAAGTCATAGAATAAGGATATGGTTCCTCACTTATAATTGTAATTCAAGTTTATAAATACCATCAAGTTGCCTTCAGTTTTAAAAAAATTTTTCTTGCCAGATGACCATTCTATGCTACAGATATGGATTGTGTGCCAGCTGGGTGTGGATCTTCTTTGGTACTGATGTTATTATTCAACTTCAAGTGGATGTTGCTTGCCAGCCTCAGGTCAAGTTTTGGGTTTAATTCTAATAACTGGAGGGCTGAGTCCCCTCCAGTCTCCCTTCTAACTGACAGCACAGTTTCTGACATAGCTGGGTAGCGTTGGGTAGTCTTCATTAAGACTGAGCATAACAAATACAATTGTTATGATAAAATAAAATGTATGCCTTGATTTAACATAGAAGGAATGTGTGTGATAGCTGTGATGCATCCTACATGGCTGTTAGCATAACTGATGCCATCTTGGGCCCTTATAGTTTCTCCTTCCTTCCACTGACCTGATCCAGGACTGTACTGTGTAGCAAATCACTTCTCCAAAACTAAGAGCTTTGTAGTTAAAAGATGATGTTTAATAATCATTAGGACCAGATGGCTTCTATTCTCTATTAGGCCCCAATGATGAAAATCTTCGCTGACCTATTCCCAGCCCTCACGAGATTAGTGACCCATTCATGAATCTTGACTTATGAATACACGTCCCATTTCCAAGTTCCTTCCCCCATTGAAAAGGAAGGCTGTGGTCCTGCCTCAGTTTAACAGGGCATTTGAAGAACATTCTGAAGAGCAGAATCTGTGTATTTACTCAGTCTATGGTGTGGAATGCTTAGGAGAAAGTTTTAGATAATTTTGACATTTTAACAAGTAACAGTGGCTTGACATTTTATTGGATGAATCAGTCCTCTTTTAAGTAAGTAACAGATATTGGCATGTCCCAAGTCATAGAATAAGGATATGGTTCCTCACTTATAATTGTAATTCAAGTTTATAAATACCATCAAGTTGCCTTCAGTTTTAAAAAAATTTTTCTTGCCAGATGACCATTCTATGCTACAGACATGGATTGTGTACCAGCTGGGTGTGGATCTTCTTTGGTACTGATGTTATTATTCAACTTCAAGTGGATGTTGCTTGCCAGCCTCAGGTCAAGTTTTGGGTTTAATTCTAATAACTGGAGGGCTGAGTCCCCTCCAGTCTCCCTTCTAACTGACAGCACAGTTTCTGACATAGCTGGGTAGCGTTGGGTAGTCTTCATTAAGACTGAGCATAACAAATACAATTGTTATGATAAAATAAAATGTATGCCTTGATTTAACATAGAAGGAATGTGTGTGATAGCTGTGATGCATCCTACATGGCTGTTAGCATAACTGATGCCATCTTGGGCCCTTATAGTTTCTCCTTCCTTCCACTGACCTGATCCAGGACTGTACTGTGTAGCAAATCACTTCTCCAAAACTAAGAGCTTCGTAGTTAAAAGATGATGTTTAATAATCATTAGGACCAGATGGCTTCTATTCTCTATTAGCCCCCAATGATGAAAATCTTCGCTGACCTATTCCCAGCCCTCACGAGATTAGTGACCCATTCATGAATCTTGACTTATGAATACACGTCCCATTTCCAAGTTCCTTCCCCCATACCCTGGGTTAACTGCAAAATTGTCCTAATGGCTACTTGACTGTTTGGAGTGCATTTGCAAATGTATCCAGATCTTGGTCTGTTGGATCCTCATCCCAACTTTTGAGTAAGTTACCCTAAAAAAAAACCGGTCCATTGATTATACAGAGCTGCCTGCCTCATTTTTCCATCTCAAGATGCCTTCTCAGTTCAGTGGACACAGCGTTTCGTCTGTCCTCCAACACATCCCCATTGATCACAAGTAGTTGACTGTTAATGCAACTAGCACTTAATACAGATTTTTCTGTATCTGTAAACTAAATCAACCAAGACAGCTTTAATAATACGCTGCTTTTAACCCTTTGAATTTGTAATCTACTTGTTGGTATAAAAATGTTTATCCTACTGATGAAATAAATATTTAAAATCATAATTAAACACTTTCTCATGATAATATCTAAGACCAAAAAAAAACTGGGATCAAGAAAGTAACGTTAAATAACCTTGTTCTATTTTCTTGTTACCCTTCTCAGAAGCATTTTATAGAAAACTGGGTAAAATACTTCATTGATATTTTATATTTCATTGTATATCTTAGTAACACTTATTCTTTAAAAATAAAAGTGTCACTATTTAAAAAAAATTATCCAAACAAAAGTTTTTCTGTTCCTATAGCTCAGTGGCTCTCAATTCACTATTTGTTAACAAAGGAAGGTTCATTTCAAGTAAAACTTTACTTGAAATTCCAACATGTAAAAATGAACTATATGAAATTGCTACGGTTGAAAAAGGGCATGGGGAGCCTACCTACTAAGCTTTTCCTTTGGGCAAAGCTTAAGACTGTCTGCTAAGCATGTTGGAAAACCACAGCTTTAGCCCATCATAAGGATGTTTGTTCTTTATGTGGCACCAAGCAAGTCCAGTTGGTGTTCACCACACTGTGGGACAGGGCTGTTGTGATGGACAGGCGACGGCTCATGCCTGCCAGATACAGTGCCTCCTGCTGGAATCCTTCAGAGTGCCTGCCAGACACATGGCTCCTTCTCCATCCTTTGTACCTGGTGATTCGTCCACCTTAGTCATGCACAGTTAGACTAGGGGTGGGTACCTGATCTAACGACAGTTATCTACAGGCTGCCCCATGACATGTAAGTAACCTGCCTGGAGAATTCTGCCCAAGAGAACACTCTATTCTGGAATGACAGTTGATCTGTCATTCTCTGTGGGGGGTTTGAACTTGAGATGTAAAGAGAGGAATGGAACCAGGAGATATACAGAAAGAAGGCAGAACGCAGAAGCCTTGAGGTAAAGAGAATAGAGTTTGTTAAGGCTGGAGCAGTGAAAGAAAAAGAGAGAGCTGCTAAGTTATCATGCTGGTGGAGCACTGGAGAAGTGGGTAGCGGGTCCCTGGTTCAGAGTCCCCTTGACAAGTCACTGGGACTTCTGACATGTTGTGAAGGAAGTTCGAGGAGGACGCCTTGTGCTTCCTCACTGTCCCATGTCCCTTACACAAATCTTTATCCTGCAAGGCTACCTATGGATTCTCTGTTGATTTCAATTTGGAAAAGTCTGACGATTGTCATTGTATGGTTTTCCCAGTTTGTCAAACATATTCAATTCAGGACAGGTCATGTGAAACCAGATTTAGACACTAGATATGTCAATATCTCAGATCCAAGAATATCAAATGGGTGGCATGTACGCTTCCACTTTCCACACCTGTGCCTTAGGCAGACATCAGTGATTAAAATGGCCCTTTGAATCATTCATGAGACAGAAATAAATTTCAGACAATTTTTTCAGATAGTTCACTAGGCTGGTTACCAGTTCCTATTGTTGACTCTCCAATAACTTTGGCCACCTGATGCGAAGAGCTGACTCACTGGAAAAGACCCTGATGCTGGGCAAGATTGAGGGTAGGAGGAGAAGTGGGTGACAGAGGGTAGGATGGTTGGATGGCATCACTGACTCAAAGGATGTGAGTTTGAGCAAACGCTGGGAGATAGTGAAGGACAGGGAAGCCTGGCGTGTTGTAGTCTATGGGGTCACAAAGAGTCAGACGTGGCTTAGTGACTGAACAACAACAAATTGTTGATGTGAGTTGAAATCTATTTACAATACCACTTCAGTAAATATTTTGAATGGAATCATCTATTTTTCTGCTCGGTTAGCAGAGTATGTAGGCAGGTCTTTGGTTTCCAATATTCTCCATGGTGTCTGAAGCCTGCAGCTGAGGTACCAGAGCTGGTGCCCCTGGGGGAAGGAGAGTGAGGCCCAGAGTGAGGCTGAACAATTGAAGTCCAAATAAAAGAGGGGCTATTTCATCTTTATATCTGTATTGAAGTTCTGATAAAATTTTATTTGATGGAAGTTTCCTACAACTGAGAAAACAATTTTTGAAATCACTAAATTATACCTCATCATTTGGATCAGAGTCTTCATACATAGCATTTAAGTCAAGCAAAGTAAATTCTGTTACTACAGTGAAATTAAATTAGAAATCAATAACAGAAAGATAATTAGAAAGTACCCAAATGTTTGGAAATGAAATAACACATCTCTAAATAACCCCTGGGTAATAAAATAAATCAAGGGAAATTAGAAGGCATTTTGCACTAAATGCAAATGCAATCAAAACATATCAAAATTTGTGGGATGTAGTGGGATTGAGTTGACACAGTTATTAAAGGATAGTTTCTAGAAATAAAATGCCTGTATTCAAAAAAAAAGTTTCCAAAACCATTGACTTCAGTTTCCACTTTAAATATTAGAAAATAAACAGCAAAGAAAACTAAAAGGGAGAAGAAGAAATGAAATAATAAAGATGACAGTGAAAATCAGTGAACTGGAAAACAAAAATAGGAGAGAATACAAATGAAACAAAAAAACCCAGTTCTTTGAGAAAATCATTAAAATTGATAAACACTGTAGCTACTCCAATCAAGAGAGAAAAAAATGAGAGAATAAATAAGTGACTAACATTAGAGCCGAGACAGGTAACAACACTATGGATTCAGTGAATAGTGACAAGGATAATAAGCGAATATTATGAAAAACTTTATGCCAATAAATTTGATAACATAGATGGAATGTATGAATTTTTCAAAAGACACAAACTATTAAAGTCGATTCTACAAAAAATAATAACCTAAGTTATCCTACATCTGTGAAAGTAATTTAATTTAAAATTAAAACTTTCTTACAAAGAAAACTCCATGTTCACATGACTTCTCTGGTGAATCTTAACAAGTGTCTAAGGAAGAAATAATATTAACACTAATTCTACAAAAAATTCTTCAAGAGAATTGCACCCAAATATCCTTCATAAAACTTAGTGTCAACACTCTTAACAAAAGTTTAGCAAATTGAATTCAACATTACATAAATAGCATAATACATCTTGACAAGTGGGGTTTATCTCAGGAATGCATAGTTGTTTTAATATTATAAACCAATCAATATAATTTACTGTATTAATAGACTAAAATGAAAAGCATCTGATCATCTCAGCAGGTACAGAGAAAACATTTGGCAGAATCCAACATTCATTCCCTATTTAAAAAATACTCAGAGTAAAGTATAAATAGGACTTCTCCAATGGCTCAGTGGTAGAGAATCTGCCTGCAATGCAGGAGACATAGGAGACACAGGTTCAATTCCTGGGTTGGGAAGAACCCCTGGAGGAGGAAATGGCAACCCAGTACTACAGTATTCTTGCCTGGAGAATTCCATGGATGAGGAGCCTGGCGGGCTACAGTCATAAGGTTGCAAAGAGTTAGACGTGACTGAGCACACACAGATGCAACTTTAAAACTGTATGTATAAAGATGTTCATGCTAACACCAAAATGTCTAACAGTAGGAAAATGGTTAAATTAATAATAATGTATTCATAAAATATAATTATCTTGCAAGCATTAAAATATTTTCAGAAGACATTAAATAGCACAAGAAGAGTCATGTTATAAGGCAAATGTTAATAAAAAAGAGAATTCAAAATTACAAATAAGCATTATCATGATAATCCTGATTTTATAAGCTAAAATATAAAAGAAACAAAACAGGAAGAAAACTGTTGTTTAACACCTATGATTCTTTGAATCTAGGGCTTTTGACCATCTATATTCAAGTTTGTTCTTGTTTTCTTATATGTGCCTAGCTTTTGCTTGAATATAAATTATAGTAAGGGAGGGGAAAAGAACTGACATTAATTTTTGGATATCCTAGTGGACTTAGAGAATTTGGGTGCACTGTTTAATTGATTCTAATGAAAGCATATATATATATATATACTGTGCTCACACACTGTTTAGAAGGAATCATGCTAGAACTCAAATAATGCTGTCATACTTTAACTGCAGTGTTTAGAAACAGGAAAGCATTTTTAACCCAATAAAAGAAATTTTCTTCTTTCTTCTACAAGAAAATTTCTTTTAGCACTAATTGTAACGGAATATGGTTCCCTTTGGGTTTCCCAGCTGGCTCAGCTGGTAAAGAGCACACTTGTCAACGCAGGAGACCTAAAAACTGTGGGTTCGATCCCTGGGTGGGGAAGATCCCCTGAAGGAGGGCATGGCTTCCCACTCTAGTATTCTTGCCTGGAGAATCTCATGGACAGAGGAGCCTGGCAGGTTACAGTCCATGGGGTTGCAAAGAGTCAGACACAACTGGGGCGACTTAGCATGTGAACGTGCATGGTAGCACCTTGTTTTGTGGAAAACTATTTGGTCAAATAACCTAGGCTACAACATAGCTACAATTATTCTAGAGAGTAAGATTTCTCAGTCAGCGATGTTAAATTCTTCATTTTAATCTAATGACCCAATTTTCTATCTTCTGCTTCCTATACTGTGCTATGCTTCCCATGAAACAAAAATGTCTCCCACTAATGAGAAAATAGGAAAATAAAATGGGCGTATGTTATTTGCTTTTGATTTATGGGGTTATAATCTCCAGGTCAGTTAACTAATTCTTTTGTGACTTCTCAAAAATGGATAGGACATTTCAGAGCTCTTAGTAAATCTGTAATCACAGAAAAGATTTTTGACAAGACTTGCTCTGTACAGCCAAGCTCTTACAAAGGGACAAGATAAACTTGTAAATCATTTATCCAAGCACCAAGGATTGTAACCATCTCCAAATTCTCATTTTCCAGATCCGAGGGACATAACTAGAACCTACAGGGAAACCTTGAGGAAAATGTTCATTTTCTAAAGAAGAATGACAGATGTTGAGGGCAGAGGTTGTAAGGAGAGAAACACCATCAATCTAACCATATATTTCTGTACCATATATCTTGACTAAAACATTAAGGTGTTACAAGATGTTTGATGACTTTCTATTCCCGAGGACACAAGGAAAGCATTTGTTTTTCACACTTAACAAAATGTGGCTTGAGCAATTATGATGTAAGTCACACCCCGACAAAATGAAATACTAAGTTCTGGAACCAAGTAAATGTGGTTGGCTTTCTGCCCATCTTCAGGGAAACATTATGTTGGCTCCAGTTACAGATGAAGCACATTTTCTGTGGTGTAAATACTTAAGCCCATGGCAAATCTGCTGTGATACTTAAAAAAAAAAAAAGAGGGCCAGTGTGGTTCACTAGATTATACATAGTCCTCCAATAGAATGCTTATTATGTCAAGTGAAAAATGCCTAATTGAAAAAAAAAAAGATGAGACACATTTAAAATGATTATTATATGCTAAATATACCCATTTTATTGTTTCAATTAATTATAACTTCACTGAAGACTGAATTATAATCATACCCATTTTACAGATCAAGATAGAAAAAGTTGAAAGCAGCTTTTCACAATTTGTCTTGACAGAGTCAAGACAGATGCCTAAGTCAGTGGTGCTCTGAACCACTTCTCTACCACCCCCAGTCAGCAGGAACTTCCTGAGACAGGCTAGCCAACTTAACTAAAATATTCTCTTTGGACATTCAATTAGACTAAATTGTTGTATTAGACATTGCATAAGAACATGTTAAGTATGCATTTTTTAAAAGATTTTTGACAAGACTTGCTCTGTACAGCCAAGCTCTTACAAAGGGACAAGATAAACTTGTAAATCATTTATCCAAGCACCAAGGATTGTAACCATCTCCAAATTCTCATTTTCCAGATCCGAGGGACACAACTAGAACCTACAGGGAAACCTTGAGGAAAATGTTCATTTTCTAAAGAAGAATGACAGATGCTGAGGGCAGAGGTCGCAAGGAGAGAAACACCATCAATCTAACCACATATTTCTGTACCATATATCTGGACTAAAACATTAAGGTGTTACAAGATGTTTGATGACTTTCTATTCCCGAGGACACAAGGAAAGCATTTGTTTTTCACACTTAACAAAATGTGGCTTGAGCAATTATGATGTAAGTCACACCCCGACAAAATGAAATACTAAGTTCTGGAACCAAGTAAATGTGGTTGGCTTTCTGCCCATCTTCAGGGAAACATTATGTTGGCTCCAGTTACAGATGAAGCACATTTTCTGTGGTGTAAATACTTAAGCCCATGGCAAATCTGCTGTGATACTTAAAAAAAAAAAAAGAGGGCCAGTGTGGTTCACTAGATTATACATAGTCCTCCAATAGAATGCTTATTATGTCAAGTGAAAAATGCCTAATTGAAAAAAAAAAAGATGAGACACATTTAAAATGATTATTATATGCTAAATATACCCATTTTATTGTTTCAATTAATTATAACTTCACTGAAGACTGAATTATAATCATACCCATTTTACAGATCAAGATAGAAAAAGTTGAAAGCAGCTTTTCACAATTTGTCTTGACAGAGTCAAGACAGATGCCTAAGTCAATGGTGCTCTTAACCACTTCTCTACCACCCCCAGTCAGCAGGAACTTCCTGAGACAGGCTAGCCAACTTAACTAAAATATTCTCTTTGGACATTCAATTAGACTAAATTGTTGTATTAGACATTGCATAAGAACATGTTAAGTATGCATTTTTGTTCTTGTACATTGAGTAAAAATTACAAAGGAAGTTTTCTTAAAAAACAAAACTCCAATATTTTGCAGTTACTAAAAAATTGAAATTACTGGGCTTCCCAGGTGGCTCAGTGGTAAAGAATCCACCTGCCAACGCCAGAGACCCAGGTTTGATCCTTAATCCGAGAACATCCCACATGCCACTGAGCAACTAAGCCTATGTTCCACAATTACTGAGCCTGCGCTCTGAAGCCTGGGAGCCAAAACTAATGAAGCCTTCATGTCCAAGAGCCTGAGCTCTGGAAAAAGAAAAGCCTCTGCAATGAGAAGCCCACATTGCAACTAGAGAGTAGCCTGCTTCAACTAGAGAAAAGTCTGAGCAGAAACAAAGAGCTCACATAGGCCCCCCCCCCCCAGAAAAAAAGATTACTATGGGCTTCAGTTTTATGTATACATACATACATATATATATATAAATGTATGTATATATCTTCTTTTTCAGATTCTTCGCCATTATGTGTTACTACAAGATATTGAGTAGAATTGTTAAGTTGTCAAGTTGTGTTCAACTCTTTGCAACCCTGTGGACTATAGTCCGCCAGGCTCCTCTGTCCATGGAATTTCCCAGGCAGGAATACTGCAGTGAGTTGCCATTTCCTTCTCCAGGAGATCTTCCCAACCCAGGGATCAAACCTTTGTCTCCTGCATTGGCAGGTGGATTCTTTACTGCTGAGCCACCAGGGAAGCCTATTGAGTAGATTGCCCTGTGCTATATAGCAGGCCTCCGCTATTCATGTATTTTATATCGAGCAGCTTGCATGTGTTAATCCCAAACTCCTAATTCAACCCCTCCCCCACCTCCTGCCCTGATATTGGATGGTGTTCTTAGATGCACAAAGGTTTTGGTTTTGATGAAGTCTAAGTTATCTACTTTTACTTGATGGCTTGTGCTTTTGGTGCTATAACTAAGAATCCATTGCCAGATATGAGGTCATAAGAATTTAACCCTATGTCTTCTTCTAAAAGTTTTATGGTTTGGTGGTTTAGTCACTAAGTCATGTCTGACTCTTGTGATTCCATGGACTGTAACCTGCCAAGCTCCTCTGTCCATGGAATTCTCCAGGCAAGAATACTGGAGTGGGTTACCATTTCCTTCTCCAAAAGTTTTATAGTTTTACCTTTTTAGTTTAGGTCTTTGATCAATTTTGGATTAATTTTTGTATATGGTGAGAGGTGAGGGTCCGGCTTCATTCTTTTGCATGTAACTATCTAGGTGTTCCAGTACCATTGTTTGAAAAGATTATTCTTTCTTTTTGAATTGTTTTGACATCCTCGTCAAAAATAAGTTGACAATAGACACATTGGTTTATTTCTCGACTCTCAATTCTATTCCACTGATTTATATATATGTCTGTCACTATACAATGCCAGTACTGAAGTTTTTCAAAGAATAAAATTTTATAAATATTCATGATTGTCACAGTCCAGAACCTCACAATTCCAATATTTTTAATAAAAAATTACCTAGCCTTGAGATTGGCAAATTATTTGGCTCAAATAATCCAACTACTATTAAGACTTACACTATATCATTAGAGAACTGTTAAAAAGTCACCTGCTTTCTACTATGTTTAGGATGAAAGTATATATGACAAAAATAAGCCACGTTTTCTGATCTGACTGTGCTTTTTGAAAATGAAAATCCCAAAATAAAGTATATCACACAATTTTGGAACCGAAAACACAGACCAATCTAGGCCAATCTATTTGTGTTTGTTGTACAGATTAAAAATTAAACCTTGGCTCTTTTCATAATAAAGATGTCACCTTACCCAAACTGTGACCTATAAAGCATCTCCTTCATTACATTTATTTGCAAACTAGAAATAATTCAGGTGTTTTGACAGACTGTGTACTCTCCAAAGGGAACAAACAATTATTGGTGTGCACAGAGCTTAGTCAACGTCACTTTTGTAGTCAAGACTTGTCCTACAGTGGTTGTGTCAGTAAATATTTAGATAAAAGAATTTTGCATTTGCCTTCTGGATACTTGGCATTATGTAGACTCAAAAAAAAAATCTTATTAGTAAAGATTATTTTAAAATGGAAACACTGAGAGAACAACATCATGTTTTGAAACAAAATGCTGAAGAAATCAACTAATAAATCACGGAATGATTGATTCAGAAATAGTTTTGTATCCTACATATCTTATATATTTAAATTTTGTTAATTAATAAAGATTCATAGTGTGTTATTTTACAGGAATGTGGCCTTACTGATGTTTAATAAAAGTTAAGGACTCTTAAGAACTGAATTATGTCTCCCCAAAATCCATGTGTTGAAGCCGTAACCTGCAATGTGACTATATCTGATGACAGGGCTTATGAGGAGGTGATTGATACAGGTTAAATGAGGTGGAGCCCTAGTCCAGTAAGGCTGGTGTCCTTATAAGAAAAAGAACAGACACTAGAGCTCTCTTTCCACCATGTGAGGACACGCAGAAAGACAGCCATTAGTGACACCAGAAGAGTCCTCACCAGAAACTAAATCAGTCAGCAACAAGATATGGACTTCCCTGCCTCTCAATAGGGAGAAATATATTCCTGTTATTAAAGTCACTCAGTCTTTGGCAGTTTGCTATGGCAGTCCAAGCTGACTAACACATGCTCTTACTGCTGAAAACCAGTCTATACAATTTCTTGGGACTGGACCCTAGCATAGCAGTTCACACTGTATATACAATTGTTTTTTACTGAAGTTACACATTAAAGGATTATAAGAAGATGTAAGAGGTATAAATCTGAAAGGGATTCTCCCATCCACTAGAGAAAATCATCATGTCACTTAGAGAATAAATGCTTTCACATTAGATGAATACCAAACTTGATCTCTAAGGTGAATAAGGAGATTCAATCCGTACCACATTTTTAGTAGCAAAGAAACAGATTATTCCCTAACTGAAATCTTTCTGGAAGAAGGAAAGGAATAAGAATAAGATTAAGGAAAAGAAGACTAGGAAGAAGTAGAAGAGAAGGAGGAGACCAAGAGAGAAAGGAGAGAAAACAAATAAAGCAGATAACTTTGTTTCTTGTTGGTTTGTTTGTAAATATCAGAGGGCTATACCTTGGAAAAAGTTTAAAAGTGCATTGAATATTTAAGCAGAAATATAGAAAAGCTGATTCAATAATATTAATGCTGTGCATACACTTAGGCTGAGAACTTAAAAATGTTTCACATGAGATCATGCGTGGTTGACATAAAAGAGCCCCAAGATTGGATATTTTTAAAGAAATTTAATCAATACTAAGAAAAATAATTTTAATCTTAAAAAAGGATGCTATTTCTGGAACTTCTACAATGTACTTGAATGAGTGTAAACCAAGGAAGAATCTTAATCATCAAAACTCTGGGAGCTAAACGTCATTTAAAAATTCTTTAAAATATTAAAGATTTTAAATTCTCAGCCAAGTTGTCCTTAAAAGGAATTTAAGACTGTACAGGCCAGTTGAATAAAGCTATCCTACATACATTCCTTAAAAGCTTTATTCATTCATGTGTTAATCCATCTGCTTACCAATTGTTCTGGGAGACTTTGGTTAAATTCCCCCTTAGAGACCTGACTCCCCTAATACCCAATGAGTGAGAAACATTATCTTCCTCTGTGAGAACCAACCAGGATTAACACATGGGATCTGTAATTGCATTAAAGTTTCATCAACACATTTCTGGAGGATATTAAAATGTATGCTACTTGTGATAGAACTTATGGTCCTTTAAAATTCCCACTAAAATTCTTTTGGTGTCCAAGAGAGAGGCTTGATCCTTGAGCTCATCTCCAAGGAGGTTAGAGAATTCTGAATAGTTGTCTTAGACTTCATCATTCTGCCAAGAGGAGGTAATCAGTGTTGAGAATACCTTCCTTTTTTTTGAAGCAGTTTCTAGTTGTTCCTTTTGAGCATGACTCTATGGCTTTAGGACATACCTTTCTGTTTCCCCCGAAAATTACAAAATGGAAAGTGCAAAAAGTCACAGACACTGAAGGAGTGGAGGAGAATGGGAAGTGGGAAGAAACCACACCAGCAGAGGCCAGAAGCCAGAGCAGATCTCACCAGAAAGTGGTTCAATATTGGTTTTGCTGGAGAATAAAGGAGCACTGTGGGCTTGCCAGATGGCGCTGTGGTAAAGAACCCTCTTGTGACTCGGTGATCATACTTTGTTTCATGAACTTCAGGAAACATGAAAGAAGATTCTCTTAAAACTTGCTGGGTCTTGGAGTAAGATGCTCACAATGGAAAGCCAGATGCTGACACGATCCAGATCTTAAAGATT